CCCTCCCTACCAGCGGGCATTGGGCCTTGCCCTGACCTTCTCTGGGCAATTGGCTCCTCAGGCATGGAGGTCATCAATGCCGCCCTCGAACTGGCCCTGGCCACCGGCAGCAAGGACCAGTGGACGCCCACCCACTTCAGCGTGGCGCCTGCCACCCTCACCCTCACCCACCAGCAGGTGAGAGGGGCTCCGGCCTCCCCACACAACAAGTGTGCCCCCCTCCCGGGCTCTTCGGGTGTGTGACAGGGAGAGGCAGGTCAGCGGCAGGGGGGGGCACGACAGACCCCCCTGCCAGAGACGGGTTCTCTTCAAAGGGCCCCCAAGAGCTTCTCTCCTTGTGGCAAGGCGGGGGGGGCAGATGGGGAGGAATCCTGGTGTGTGTGTGTGTGTGTGTGCCTACACACCCGTGTGACCCCCCCTCCTCTTCCCACAGACGGAAGCCGTGCTGTGCGAATGCCGGGTGCGCTTCCTGTCCTTCATGGGGATCGGGAGGGACGTCCACTCCTTCGCCTTCATCATGGCTGCTGCCCCCGGCCATTTCCGCTGCCACATGGTCTGGTGTGAGCCCAACGCCGCTGGGCTGAGCGAGGCCGTCCAGGCTGCCTGCATGGTGAGGCGCCTCTGCCTTTAGGGAGGACCAGCCCCGGGGGGGTGGGGGAGGGAGGCACAAGGTGGTGCGAAGCGATGGGTCTCCAGTGCCAGGGGAAGGGGTGGGGGGGAGGCAGCCTCCGTGGTCAGTGGCCGTTTGTTTGGCTGGAGCTCAGCGCCCTTCCTGCCTTCTCTGTACGGCAAGGAGCCCATCCTGCGGACCTGGGACTAGCACCGGCTGTCAGCTTGCATTGGGGTGGGGGCGGGGTGGGGGCGAGGCTTCCCCACCCCTTGGCCTCAGTTTGCAAGGGGGCAAGTCCCTGTTTGGGCTTGGTGGGAAGGGTGGAAGCCCCTCCCAATCCAAGGCAGATGCCTGAGAGAGCGAGAGAGAGAGCGTGCGTGTCTTGCTTTGCCCTGTAAGGGGCCACGTGCGCGCACGCAGCTGAACACTCTTCTCTGCTGAAGGCATTTCGTGGCATCTCCTTGTGCTTCCTGTGGCATTCCACGTGGGCCACAGCACTTGCTGAGGAGCTGGGCAATGGCAAGGCTGAAAGGGAGGAGGGGCCAGGAGACTGCTGGGGGGGGGAATGTGTGTGGGGGGGCGGCCACCATCACCCCCAGGCCCACCGACCCTTCTTCTCTCCAGCTCCGCTACCAGAAATGTTTGGACGCACGGCCTCAGACCACCAGCTCCTGCCTCCCAGCGCCGCCCGCCGACTCCGTGGCCCGCCGCGTGGGCTCCACGGTCCGGAAGGGGGTCCAGACCCTGCTGGGGACCCTCAAGCCCAAGCGCCAGGGAGCTCAGACACCGTGAACCCCCCCCTACCCATAGAGAACCGGAAGTCCACGCAGACCCCCCCCCCGACTGTGGCTCCCCCTAGCCTGCCCGACATCCGCCTCAGAGCTCTTCCCTTCTCTTCTGGGTGCATGTTCCACAGGAAGGCGAGTGTGCGAGGTGCGTATTTATGAGGAGTGTGTGTGTCGGTGTGCGTGCGTGTGTATGCGTCCCAGAGAATTGTCCGTGTTGCCTCTTCGGAGTGGTTTGGGGCGTTCATATCCCAGGAAGCCCCCTTTTCCTGTGTGGGGGGCTCTTGAGCCATGCTGCTGCTTCTCACTGACTGATGGGGGGCAGCCGTGGGTAAGGCAGATGCCCTGGGGGGGAG